TATCAACATTTTATATATAGAGACGTTTCTGGAAATGTCTTCTGGATGATCTTTAAAATGTCTTTTGAAGGTGGAGATATCCTTGGACGTCTTTAGGATAATCTTCAACAAATTTTAGTTCTCTAGGAACAATTACAATGATATAAGTTTACAGAGTATTAAAGAGCCAATCACAGAACTTGTTGTGTAAAATTATTTTATACATCTTAATGATAATTACATGAATTTGATATTCAAATCTATTCTCTTAAATTCAAGATCTTGACATGTTTCGGCTGCATTCGAGCCCTCTCCAGAAATTCAATAAATTTGTTATAATTATAGATGTGCAGATGAAGTCCCTTAACTTGAATATCAAATTCATATAATTATTATTAAGATATATAAAATAATAATACGCAACAAGTTCTGCGATTAGCTCTTTAATACTCTGTAAACTTATATTAATGTAATTATTATTATTTAGAGCCCTTTATTATTACATTAATACTCTAGGAAGTTTGAGCATCCTATATAATTATTTTAATAATCGAACAAAATTTATTTCTATATAGACGCATCTATTTAAATTCTTAAATTCTTCAGCAAAAAGTGTAATAATTAATTATTTATTTAGAACACTAAAAGCACTGAACATCCACGCTTTTAATATAATTAATCCCGATAACAGGAACGAGTCAGTTGGACTCGAAGCGAAAATTTTTGGACGATTGTGCAATTTATAGATCAGATTCTGAATTGTAGATAAAAAAAAAAACCTTGAACTTTCCATCAATCGTTATAAGCGGAAGCTCATTTGCATGCTGTAACAAAATAAGGTTTAGAACTTGAAACTACGAGATGTAGTTTTCGTAGTTCGCAGAGGGTTAAAACAAGTAATCAATTACTGTCTTTCATATTGGCCGGTATTAGATTTCCGCGGCGTCTCTGGGCGAGATCTGGGATCTTCCGCGGAGAGTAAACCTCCTCTCTCTCTCTCTCTCTCTCTCTCTCTCTCGCTTTACGGCAACCGGAGGCTCGACTTTCATTAACGCGCCGCGCGCGTCTTACGAGCTTCCGCGGAAATGAACGCGCGCCAACGGCTTACATAACGCGCGTCATTAATACATCCGTCACGCGAAGTGCTTTATCATTTGTATTGCTGCGGGAGCTAAAGTTCATCAATAGCGTAACGATGTGCGCGCGAGCGCACATTTTTTTTACTGCCAAGATCTTATTTCCCGCGCCGACTATGATTTGACAGCGTAACGCGCATGTGGCTGGTTGTCAGTGGAAATCTATAGGTATAGAGAGAATTACGAAGTGGATAGAAAACTGTCCGACTGATGGTGAGATGTCTGCTTATGTAAAATACATGTTGTAATGTAAAATGTAATAAATTCTTACTGAAACCCGATACTGGCCAATTTAATACCGGAGGACAGTGATTAATTACTTATTTTCAATATTGGAAGCACTGTTTAATATCTAAACTTTTAGTATCTAAATAAGAATTTATACTGTCCTTTAGTAATGAATTGGTTAGGTTAATATTAGATTTCTGCAGGGTTGGGTAGACTAGTTGAAACGTTAAAAGTTAAAAACTTTTGACTTAGTTAATTTTAAACTGCATTAATTTTGAACTTCATTTAATTACTTTTGAACTTTAATTTATTAACTCTCTCTTTTTTTTAATTGAACATTTTTTTCTATCTTTCTTAATGCTGATATTTTTTTTCTATAAAGTGTCTTAAACATTAGAGAATTAATTTAGAAAAAGTTCAATGATTTTATGATGAAAGACTGTAATAAGAATCACACCATACGGTAATCAGTTTTTATTGACTCGTTAAATTTTGTCAATTCCCACTTATATATTTGAATCACATTAATTTTAGACACAAACGTTATATTTCAGCAACATGAAGAATTGTAGAACAGAGTTGCACATTCACCCATTTTCTTAATTTCTATGTATATTTTTTGTAACAAATATCTAATCGATGTAGTCGTAAATGAACAGTCATGCATGAACAGTCGTTTTCAGAAGTTAAAGAAAGTTAGATAAAGGTTAAAGAAAGAGAAATAATGCAAACATATATCCTTCTCTCTTGCAAGATTTTGACAAAAACACCTTATCGTGTAACTCTTATTATATTATATAACTTACATGTGGATATAAAATTAAATTTACCTATAATCTATATTTGTAAGGGTTATTTAAAGTAATCTCATTTTAAGGAAAATTAGGATTCTGACAAAAATTAGGATTAGGACATTCTGATCTCAAAAATAATTTTTTTCAAAATTAACTTTTTTTTAAACTTAAGTTAATTTAATCTTAACTTACCTTTTATTAAGTTAATTCTTTATTCCTTCAACTTTCAACTTAATTTTATTAATTTTATAAACCATTAACTTTAACTTAAAATTTAGTTTAAAAAAAAACATTAACTCACCCAACCCTGGATTTCTGTGAGGCAAGAAAACAGATACATTTTTCATGCAGAATTCTTTCCTTAAGATGACGAAATAGAATTCTTAATTGCTTTATTTTCCATTGATGGACCTTTGTACATCACTGTACAAATTTTCGGACAATTCGAAATTCGAAACAAGTCTCGAATTGTTTTTAGTGTTTTTACGAAGTCGAGCTCGTGCGATTATTAATTATCGGTTGTTAACATTCAATGTAGATATCTATTGAGATGATAAAATATTTTTTGCAAAATATGAAATACGTCAATTTATATAACAACATTTATCTTGTCTAAAAGTGGATTTTTCATACACCACATGAAAAGAATTATGTTCGCTGAAGTATCTAAAAATTTTACAAGATATGGATCTGGAAATAATTATGTAGGACGCTAAATTGATAATTAGAATGTTAAAACTTTGACAATATTATCAAGCTGCAAAAAAAAAACACAAGAGTTCAAGCGTTCTACATAATTATTTTGATGGATTTCAACGAAATTATTTTCAGAAAAATTTAGATAAATCTTAAAATAACATTTCGGACTATCAAAAACTTTTTGCAACATTACTTATCGTACTTGAGTCTCATAGAATTATTTGGATGTGATTTGGATGTTTCAATAAAATTATTTTCAGATTTGTATCTCTAGCTGAATTTTTAGATATTCAACAGAATCGTTCTTTTCGTGCAGATCTGACAGATCTGAAAATAATTTTGTTAGATCATAAAATAATTATGTAGACCTTAAAAACTTATACTGCTTTGTGCTGCTTTTTGTAACTTAATGATAATACTGTCGAAAGTTTTTAACATTCTATAAGCAATCAATTTAAGCGTCCTACATTTTCAGATTTGTATTTTGCTACATTTTTAGACGCTTCAGCAAAACCGTTCTTAAATCTCATACAGTCAGCTTATCATTCCGTGATTTTTCCGATCGACGGCAAATTATAATCTGAGAGGGAGAGAGGAAAGAAAACGCGCAGGAAAAAAAAAAGACATCTTTCTCGTGCATCTCCACAATCGTAATTAATACGGTAACGCTAATGGCTTAGAGCCGCACCGGGACTTGTGCAATAAATATCGAAGGTCAGGCAAACGTACGTGTTTTCCGTCGTTGCGACGACACGACATCCCGAACACGTGGAGCGGTTCGGTAAACGCACGTGCGCGGTTGCGTAACCATTTCCGCGCATCCGCCGGCCGTTCGGATTAAGACTTACGTTACGTACGATACGTGAAGGCGATGCGCCGCGCCGGCCGGAGTATTTTCATCCACGATCGCGGGTTAAAAATAAACGCGCGATCGCGCGAGGCGACGCGCTCGTTCCTACCTCGTGACTTCATTTCATCGCAAACCGATAATCATCGACGATGTGGACAACCTAATTATATGAGCTGACGTCACGATTATCGTGGTTACCTCGTCGTCAAAATTTGAAGATTATTATCTCGAAGAAGCGGCCATTAATTGGTTAATTGACCAACAGATAACTTTATCGACTTCTTCGAGTAAACTTCGTCGTAGATCATAAAAATCAAGGAGGTCCAGTTTTATAGAATCGATCGTTATGCAAGAATTGACGTAGGTATTTTTTTCTTTCATTAAAAGATCGTTTGGAGGTGAAGCAAACGACTTGGGTTCACTGGCACCTTCGACCTTGACGAACGCGACCTTACTTAAGGCTGTTTTGCAAGCTGTTTTGGACGAGAGAAGTGCGTCCGTTGGCAGTGCGAGTGTCCCTCGATCTCTTTATCTTTAGCTGTTCTCTCTCTCTCTCTCTCTCTCGTGTTTCGACGTCAGAATTGGCTACACAAATCAATCTTCGTCTTATTAAGATTGAGAAGAAATAGAAGGGATTCGATGAATAGCAATTTTCCTTCTGATTTAGTCGAAGAGAGTTTATTTCCGAAGTAATTTGAAAATAATGGAAATTACACGCTTCCTAAAATCGCGGAAAATCCAGTCGACATTAAGATAACATCAAAATGTACGTCGGTCGATATTAATGTAAAATGTCAATTTTTACAAAAAGAAATTCATTAATTACTTAATTTAAGTATATTAAAAGTACTGTTATTCAACACTTTTGCTTTAATAAATAAAAAATTTAATAAATAAAAAATGTAATAAATACAAAATTACTCTTTTTCAATAATAAATTGATATTGGATTTTTGGAAGAGAAGAAAATGGAGCAGATAGAATTTATTTACGTTCCTTATAAAATTGTTTTCTATAGATAATTTTAAAGTTTCTTTCTAATCCCTAATTTTCATTTTCAAACCTGAATCCAAGACAGTTTGGTAACAAGCCTTTCAATCAACAACGATACCCCTCCCTTCTAATTTACATGCACAATACGTAAACCAGTTCTCTCTCTGACGTATGTATTATCATCGTCGTTTGGCACGCCAAAGTTTCGTCATGGCTAATAAACGAGTCGCGCACGCGAGTTGACCTATGAATTAAAAATCCCACGCGCGGCGATATCTCCATCTCGCTCGATTAACTGATCAACCGATCCTTTTCGTTCCAGATGTACTAAGAAGACAAATTATGGTGGCAGAGTTTGTCTCCCGCCAGAGTGGATCGCCCATCAATGGTGAGACCGCGTGTCTGAACAGCAACATGCCGGCCACGCACACAATGGCCCACAGTGGTGGGCACGGTGCGCCCCATGGCGGGCCCCACGACGCCCACGGACCCCTCACGGTGCCCCTCACGCATCCCGGCCATCACGGCGGACCCCCACACGCCCCACCAGCATGAGCACCACGGGCAGCAGCAGCAGCAGCAACATCTTCATCATGATGCGGCGCAGGTAACGACGCATCCCGAAAACTTCCCGTCCAATTTCGACCTACGAAAGGAGCTATTCTCACAGCGTAAGCAGCGCGAGTTCATCCCCGACAACAAGAAGGATGACAGCTACTGGGACCGTCGCAGACGCAACAACGAGGCAGCCAAGCGGTCACGTGAGAAGCGCCGTTTCAACGACATGGTCCTGGAGCAGCGGGTGATGGAGCTCAGCAAGGAGAACCACATCCTCAAGGCGCAGCTGGAGGCGATACACGACAAGTTCGGCATCTGAACACTCGCACCCCCAGCCCGGTGCATACATCGGTGATCCATCAGCCGGTGAGTGGCGCCCGTTCGCCAAGATCGCCGGCCCAGCTCTACGTGCCCGAGACGACCGCGTATCCGGAGGCTGAGAGCTTCCAATACCCGTACTCGCACCCGGCGATGCACCACCTGGACACTACGAGCGCGCTGAACCTGTCGTCGCGCGGCCGCAGGGCGCAATCACCGTTCGAGCTGTCGTCCGGTAGCGGCGACGAGGCCGGTCCCCAGATGGTTGTGGGCTCCCAGAATAATCCGGCCGCCAACAACAGTCTGCCCCACAAACTCAGGCACAAGTCGCGCATCGGCGACAAAGACGCCGCGAGCGCCCTGCTCGCGCTGCAGGGCATCAAGCAGGAACCTGGACCGCGAGCGTCGCCACCCTGGGACGAGGGTTCCAGCGACGAGCGCGACTCTGGCATCTCGTTGGGCGCTGAATGGACCGGTCCGACTGTCACTACGGTCTCGGAGAGCGATCGGGAGGTGAAGATGAAGTTGGACCGCCTCGCGTCCGAGGTCGCGTCTCTACAATCGATATTCCGTCTTGGTAAGCCCGTCGCAGCAGCGGCGGCGGCCGCGGCAGACGGCCTGGTGACGGGTCACTCTGCCGCCACGGTCAGCGGACCGTGAAGGACACGATTCCCCTTCTTCTGCGGGTCACTGCGGGTCCTCCTCCCCTGGCCGGATGCCGGGATTCCTGGGAATTGGACGTGGATCCCATCGTCTGGAGGACGCGTGGGAAGGACAATGGAGCCTTGGACCGTCGAGTTTGATCGCATCGAGCGTAAAGGATTCTATAAATTCGCGCGATTATTTAAAGAAATGAAAGAAATGAAGAGCGTGCGAAGCTAGCTTTCACGATGCCGGTGCAACGAGAGCAGATCCGTAGCGGTCGCTTTGAAATAAGATAGAATACTCGCGAGTCACTCGTGAATGATTTGCGATTACCGATCTGATCTGCTCGTTGCATGAGGGTTATCGATAATTGGAAGACGCAACAAGACGCTCCCGTCTCGTTGCGTCCACGGAAAACTTTAATCCTTCAACCCGTCGATTATACCTCTGAGGGTTCCTCTTCGATGAAACTTATAACTTATTGTGATACGCGAGAGACCGTTTTAAACGCCGTTTTGAAAACGAGTCCTGCCTTTAGGTAGACTCGACGGCTACCGGTCGAAGGGTTAAAGGCGTTCTCCATACGAAAGACGGTTTTATTGTAACGAATTTTTATTAAAAAATTTATTAAAAAATTTTTATTAAAAAATTTTCTATAGTAATTATTTTGATCGTCCTACACAGAAAAAAATATTCCAAATTTTTACAAATCATTTGTTTGAATAGCGCCAACAAAATATTTATTAAATATAAAGATATATTTATTTATGATACAAGAATCATTTCATTTTTTAATAATCTTCTTTTATCGATTAAATGTTTATTTACTGTAAATAAATGTTTCAGTTGGCACTATTTAAATAAATATATATTAAAATTTAGTACATTTTGTCTCAATATACATGATTAATTTAATAGTTTAACAAAAATGATTTTCATATTCTATATTTAGCTAAACTTTTAGATCCTTCAGTGAAACTGTTCTTTCTGTGCACTCTTGGGTTCCGAAGCAAAGTGGAGTTAGGAGTTAAGAGCCGATGCGATACCTTGTAACGCTATAAGTTACGTTATAAGACTCCCGTAGGTTAATCGTTCTTCTATTATTACCATTATCGTTAACTAGAGCTTTGCCGATTCGGGCAGACGTATCGCGACGAGTTGGGCCGAGCGTAATCGGCGCGATCAGGTGAACGAAGGCACTGCGATCTGTATTAAACGGAGCGTTATTACACGCGAGTTTTCTCCCCCGATTGATAATTGGTCGCGCAACCGGCTATCTCACTACCATCGGATATTCATAATACGATTCATTCCCGCATACGAAGCAGGGATTACTTCTTCCTTCTTCTTCCTTTTATTTTCTCTTTGCGTCATCGTGTCATCATCATCATCGTCATCTTTCTCCTTATTCGCCATCACACTGGCGATCTCGTGCGGTGGAGCTTCGAGGCGTAGCTTTAATTCCTCATTTATTTATTCGCCAAAACTCGACCGAACCTTCGTTATTGATCTTGCACGTCTACACGGTTGTTATTGAATATCAAGAACCTTCGGAAGCGACGTCTATCTTGCTAGAAACCTCAGAAATTCGGTTCACCGGTACGTTCATTCCGAATTCGCTTTTTTTTTTATTTATTGCCTCTTCTATTGCATCTCGAGAGCCGCGCCGAAAACCTGGACGAAGCTCCGCAAGTTAGATCCTTAGATTCCTTTCTTCTTTTATTCTTCTTCGGTATCTCTCGACATCAGATTTTCACGCGATCTCTGCGCGACTATCCGTTATCTTCTTTTTTTTTTTTATACTTTTGCTATCCAAACGCTACGGTCGGCGTAGTGGCGAGTGTCTGTATATATGTATATGTAAAGAATACGAAAATGCATCTGTGTTACAAAACGCCGGACGAGAAACGCTAATTTGGATGTATATGTACATACAATCGCCGCGGAAAGTCCTCTCGGAAGGCGGAATTTAGCGCGTATTGAAGTATTAAGCGAGCCTATAGGTGTATGTAATATATATTTACATAGTATACTTGCAAGAAATATATATATACTATGTGCATATATATATATTTTTCAAATTAATGTATTTTTCGATATCATTGAAAAACGAGCTGTAACGTACGTGCAGTGCTCGATTGTGCCGTCGCCGATTCGTAGGTATGAGAGATTGATTGTGTAACAGGGAGAGACCGGTCGAAATTGAAGTCGTGTTATCGGCCCGGATCACCGAGTCCACCGATCGGAACCAAAGTGTGATTTTTCCCGAAAGCGCAAGGGGAGAATGAGGAAAGTAAAATATCTATTCGACGATAATGGAACGAAGTCGGCGACGTGAAGAAAGAATACGGCGATACTTTGCTGATCATTGTTCCCCGATCGATCAACCATACGTTTTTACCAATGTGATACGCTAGAGCGATAGAGGCGCGAATCCGGGAGCAACCGTGAAGATGACCCTTAGATGCTCCATATTATTGTTCAATTATTTTGTACAACGGCTTTGTTTTTTTTTTAGCTCAACTTTTTGCACAGTTTATCTTCTCCCATTTCTCTTCACATTGGAGAAAAAAGGAAGAAAGATGAACCCTGCAAAAAAACTTGACTAAAAAGAACAGGTCTAAATTATCTATGAACCCTTTAAACAATTCAAAACAAGCAGTCTTCAATATAGATCAATAATAGTTGCTTTCCATTTTTTTCACACAAGTGATATCGAGTCTAAGTTATGTGTCACTACTTGCTTACTTTGATGACAAAGTTATCGCATAACAACACAGTTTATAAATCTCACTAATGTGAATTAACAAGACTCAGTCAGTAAAACTTGTGCAGATTGTACATTGAAAACTCGATTGACTCTCACTTGTCACAGAATGAAAAGGAACGTGCATTCAACTAAGTTATGACGTCACAAATTATTTAAGTTTTGGTAAATGAAAAGCAACTAATATTGTGCAATATTTCATGCAATAATATTGATCACCTAAGGGCCGTTTAATAGCGAAAAGGCATCTCTATTTATTGTACATTAATCGCCTATGTTATGCGGTGGAGCGTGCGACGACGACGAGGAGGAAACTGAAGCCGAGAGATCGGCGGCGTTTTGGAATCCCTTCTCACACAGGATCTCGTCATTACCTTTCTCTTGCCCCCATATATTATATATTTTTTTTAACACTTCCCCCGGGCGTGAATGTTCCACATTTTGTATACGGTATGCTTGTAAATTCCGCGGCCGACATCGAGGCCTTTACAGAAATCCAATTAATGTCTACTGAAAGATAATGATTATTTATTTATTTTGAGTACTAAAAGTAATGTTATTCTCAGTGCTTAATAAGTAATTAATCACTACATCTTCCAGTATTATAATATAATATTATATTATAATATAATATAAATTTCTATAAGGAGGGGGTCGACTGAGCGCACAAAATGCAAACGTAAGATCAACGATGTTGATTAATCGCGTTCAGATACGACCATAAATAGCAATAAAATGTTCCGAATCGTCGTCGCTGAGTTCCGATATCCTGTAAAGAACGATGTTTGCCAGCAACATCGCAGTCGCGTCGCTGTAAAATACCGAGAGTGCCTGTTTGTAACGACGAAGTCATGTGCGTATCTCGACCGCGGTCGGCGAGAGATACGGGGATGCTGCACCATGTAAATACGTTGTCTTCTATTGTTAACTAACGAGTGCCCGCGATTTCCGCGATCAACGACGAGGTCTCGACACGTTTCCGGATTTAACACATTCTCTCTAAATTCTTCGCAATGGAGAATTTCACTCTAAAGAGTGAAAAACCAGTCTTGAAAAAGAGTAACTCAATTTTCAATATCTTTAAGAGTGACATTTCACTCTTCAGACTGAGATTCGCTCTAAACATTTTTGAGAATACATAGATCCAGATACATACACACAAATACAACACACATATACACACATATACACGCACACACACAGAAATACATCCCGATTATTCGCGCACTTTTGCCTCGCTCGCCTCGAACGATCACAATAATGCGACGATCGCGAGAGAGCCGACACGTTACAAACAATTTGTAAATATACAATCGCACCTTTTTGCCAAAAAGCAGTTACGAGGACCGCCGGAGCGTCGGCCGGAGAAGGAACGACACTCTTACCCCCTTTCTGCCCTTCTCCCTCTTCCCTCTTCCACTTCTACTCTCCTCAATTGTGCCCCCGCGAAATCGTTTCGCGCGCGTTTCGACTACAGTTCCTATGCACTATACTAACGGTAAAGCGACTTAGAGGCGAGGATCGATGACCCGTCGTCCGATTTACGATTTAAAAAAAAACCAGCCGTAATTCCAATCGAATAAGCTTGGTTCTCCTTTCTCCGGCGCTGCTCGGAGATGTAAGTATTTAGATTCTAAGGGACATATCCACAGCGCGTGTAGTGTACTTGTATATGAATACCGATAAATAAATATTTTCAATGTTTTTGACACAAAGCCCCTCTCCTGGTTCTTTGACTTCCTAGCGCCTCCCTTTCTTTTCCTCTTCAGTAATTTGGAAAAAAGAAATGCCATGTTATGCTTTTACAATAAATTATAAATACATATACATATATTTCATACGAAATATGATTCAGAAAAGAGGGACAGAATATATCTCTAAAAAATAAGCATAAGTATCTACTTTAGACAATTAAACATCACACAGCTGATTATACAAAGAATATAAAAAATATATATATGTATACTTTGCCATTTTGTAAAATAGTTTGTACAGAGTGATAAAAAGTAATGATAGCATTTGAATTGAAATCAGTCCTATCGTCTAAAAAATACATTACTAAAAAACTAGAAATATCAAGAACGATAAATCATGATTCTGAAAAGATAATATTTAGAAATTATACAGGGCGTTTTTTAACGTCAATATTGCACAGTAAATTTGAAGCCAGAGAAAAAGTCGTATGAATAAACATTTTGAATACTTTAATTTATTTTAACTCGGAGAATAAACGCCTTACGTTCGCGTGACTTTTTTGCTTCTTGTTTCGGACTCTAAATTCACTCTCTAAAGTATTCACGTATAATTTAGAATCGTTCTATTATAGATATATGGCCTCTACGTGATTAAAACTATCAAGTGGTTTCTATAGGATGTACTTCTATGGATGCCCGTTATAACAATCCAAATAATTCTTAACAGATGGAATGCCCTAAGCTTTAAAACTACATTAATTAAAAATTACTTTCGCTTTTTACATTTTGTTCTACCACGACGTCTGCGTGAAGAGTTTTGACGGGTATCCGATTTTTTTGATGACCTGTAATTGAAATTCGACTTCAGTAAAGTAATTAATTTAGGCAATTAATTATAACAGATCAACTTAACAATTACTTCAATCAATTTTTTATGAGAATTCAAAATAATTGAATATTCATCGATCAGACACGAAAATATACCTGTGAACCCTATTCACTGAAACAGAAGAGTGCTTCTTTAACGTTAGATGTTGTTGAACCAACTCCGCTAGTTTCCCCTGCTGAGCAAGCATCGAGAGGAAGGTGCAAATGAATTCGTCATAATTGTGCGTTCTCCGGCAATCGTCGATCTGAAAGATTCACATGATTTCTATAGTTCCATAAGAGTAAAGTGCTCGATAACATATCAATTAATTATTTATATATTTATCATGTTTTAATTAATTTTTAATACTTCAATTAGTAAATCTAGTCTGATCTTTTCGTTTTATTATGACTGCAGATGATTAACAAAAGAAACAGGGAAATGTCCCTCTTTTGAGCTTTTAATATGTTGTAAAGATTGAAAAAAATTTTAATTATCTTTTTATAAATAAATTTTTTTATTGAAGAGAATTTTTTTATCATTATCATAAAGTAGTCCCAACTTTTATTAGAAAAAGTTTTTTCATTTTTTTTTTATAGTTTGATGATATTCACTTTAAAGGAAACTAAGCGATGTTTCACCCCCTAAAAGTATATGCTTCATTTTAGTCTAGACTACAATATATTAAAAGCTCATCAAAATAGAAGGGACACTCTTTTCTTTATAAGAGAAACGTGTCACATTATTGTTTTGAATAAATTTGATATTTTATTTCTTTATTAACCTGATATCTTACGCTTGTTTATTGATCTTGATTTTATTTTGCTTAGCAATTAATTATAGGCATAAATTGTGATGTATAATCATGAGAAATGGGACGGGATATCATGGCTATTAGCTGCAATCTTTGCCGTTAAAAATAGCAAGCGCTTTGTAACACGCATAAGACCAACCTTGTACTTGTTTCTTTTGTCGTTCTCGTCCTTCAGGCTGGTCTCGCATACGCTGATCTCGTGCTCTAAATTTTTCAGCAACGCCAAGAGATCCTTGGGTGCGAACGTGTGCGGTTCGAACAATTCCGGATATTTGGAGCACAGTTTAGGATCGATTTTCTCGACTTTCTTCTCCTCCGTGACTGTGTCGCCGTTGCTGGTTTTCACCCTCGCGTGAGGAATTCTGACTTCACCCGATAGGCAGACCTTCTTATGTAAATGACCACTGTCGGAAACCAATCTTTTCCCGTTTATATTAATATTTCCCAGAGAACGACCTGCGTAGAAGCGAAACATTTCGATGTAAGATAACCGACAAATATATTTCGTATAAATCGCATAAATCTACCTACTCAAACCCGCTTCGTTCTTCTCGTCACCAGCAACTCTGATGACTACAAACTTCTTGAAGTCCTTCGTCGACGTAGGGCTGCTCTGACCAGAATTCCATCCCCAAGCTAAAAGATACAAAGATATTTAAAAAAATCTTCCTCTAGTCATTCGAGGTTCTTGAAATTAACGCTAATGATTCAAAAACTGGTTCCTGCTTTGCATACATAAAACATTTCCAAAATTCTATTTAGACTAGAAACTAGCAGATGGGCAATTTATAACAGACGGGTCAAGTAACTGTACGTGGAAGGTGCGAAACGAAACGTCTCGCAGAGATGTATGACTGTATGTACGCGTGAAAAGTACACAGTGTTTTTAAGGCAGACGCATGAATTGCAGTCTGTAACAGTTACGGTACGGGATGCGGTTCGTATCGATCCTCCTTGCGTATAGCCTGATCTGTCCGGTGAGCTCTTCGAGATGTCCAGAACCAAAGAAACCACACCTAACGAGTTGCACGATTTTCTACAATTGCGTGAATCTGCCAGGCGGTGGTTACGTGTGGGTTCCAGCGAAGTGTAACACAGGCTTGGTGAGAACGTTAGCGTTAACAAATAAGACAAACAGAGATCTCCCAATTCTAATGGCACTATTACTCTGAAGAAAAAATTTTTTTTAGAATAGAAATATTCATATAATTTTTCAGAACTTTTATAAAGGACCTTCACTAATTATATGGAAAATTGCGTCTCGGTGATATGAATTAGTTTTCATATATAACTTATAACGAAAGATGTCATGGATACAAGAAAGATATATAGACACTTCAATAATGGATAATTCTTTGCCGCTTTCTAGCAAGATTGATTGTTTCATCTTTGTTTAACATTGGCAACAAGAATGTAATGCTTCACGATGTTATACTGTGTCTTTTGTTGGAAAGCACCCTTTTTTATCAATAAATTTTAAATACAGCTATGATGTGGGAAAGATGATGTGAACACAAATTTTATGCCTTTGATGCATTACAGTTTAAAGATTATCTATTACTAATTTTCCATATAATTAATGCAACGGGATCCTTCCAAATTTTTCAAAATTTCTATATGATTTTTATAACTTCCTAGAAAATTTCTTAAAATTTTTGTAAAATTAAAATACTTCCAAAATTCTGAGAAAGTATATATTTTTTTTCTAAAATTTTTTATACAGAAGAGAATTTTGGAATATATTGTAATATTTCTCATTTCATTAATTTTTGAAGAAAATTTGTAAAATCTTAAGAAATTTAACGTATTTTTAAGAAAAATCTCCCTAAATTTAAAATCCCTAAAATTAATTACAAATTCTTAAAAATATTATGAGACATTATAAGCATTTTTTTCATCAAGGTAACAAATGTTTGAAATACGATTTTAGGTATTTCAACCATATTTACGGATGTGCGTGATTCCTGGTGATATCTGGACATGCGATATACTCTCAACCGATTCTCCTGTGACGAAAAAGCATGAGATATCCGAACTAATCAATCCAATGGATACCAGCTATCTAGGATATACGGAGGATCCTTTAGAATTCTCCGAAACAGTTGACTCGTCTTATGTGATCGACGACTTTTACGACTCGACGACCGAGACGATGACCGCATATCCTTTGATCGAATTTGAAGAATCGGACAAAACGACGCATAGCGACAAAAGCGTGAGAAATGCATCGTATCACAAGGAAGAGAATTATATATACACGAATAGCCAAGGCCAACTATCGTTGTCTCTGATGCAAGAATATAAGGACATCGTGGATAATCATTACAAATGGCTAAACAAATTAATGAGTCGATTGCACATCTACAAGGAACTGTCAGCCGCGATATCAAGTTCTTTGTCGATACCTATAAGAGACACTACAACCATAAATCCAACGCAGACTATCACCATCTTCGCGTCTCATAATCAAAGACAGAACGTATCGTTGAATTACCTCGTGCAAACCTATACTGAAGGAACTGAGTTACATAACAGTAATGACGAACCAACTGAGATGATGGGAAGCAACGAACCTCAGATGAATACCGTCGCGACGACGGACAGCACCGTTTCAATGGTGAGTACTTTGGAGCTGCTAATCGACAAGCTGGATTCTGACAACAACATAATAAGGATTAGCGATAATCTCGGAAACAAACAGTATCTCACGATCAACCGGTATAGAAACATGGCGCATCGATTAATGCCACGAACCGTTAGCGTCGTGACGTGCACAAGGAACGTCCGTCTGCCGAATAAGACCGACTGTTATCGATACTACACATGTGAGCCGAAAACTGCTACCGTAGTGGAGTACTCCTGTCCGCTGCATACGGCTTTCAACATGTACTCGCGAATCTGCGATATCGAGAGTGTGAAAACGTGCGGCAGCAACGTAAAGCTTCCTGTGAACGAAATATTCTTCGAGAATATTCATGCCAATGACAAAAGTACAATATATGAAGAAGAGTCCGAGGAGAGATTGTGTCAAGAACTTGGTAAGATAAAAGATCCCGCTTCGGATTCTCATTATTATATTTGTTACAACGTGCCGGATTCCGAAGGTATCAAATCAATCCGAATGACCTGCCCAAATGCCTTGATATTTTGCCAAAGCAAGAAGGTGTGCACCACCAGACGATTGTGCGACGAATTGCCGTGAAGTAGCATTTTCTCTTGTCTTTTCTCTTTTTCTTTTACCTTGAGTAGGCGAGTTGAAGGCCGATCCGATTTCCGACGATGTATCTGTACTCGATGAGCTGTGAGCTGGTGAAGTTTGAATTCGTAACGGCGTGGCGTAATCCAGAGCGCACATCACCACTTTCTCCATTCCACTGAAATCAAACATAAATCGCTTATAGCAAAACTGCAGCACCGAACAATTTTGTGAACTTGTTATAAATAAATAAAATATATTATATCAGAATATACTCTAATTTTTTGAAAAAAAAAACTAACAAAGTTTATACTTTCAAATTGTTATATTCTCTCCTACAAGATTTAACACTAGAATCGCCGATTTATTTGTATCGTTAGAATTATTTGCATTATATTTACATTTTTCCAATATTCTGTATTATATATTTAGCACAAAAAAGAAAAAAAAAGAAGAAAAATTGAAATTGTAGCAGAAAAATCGATGATTTTATTAACTTAAATTTTATCGATACAAATAAGCGAAGACTATGTTCGGTCAAAGCGAATGTTGGTGTTTAATAATATTTTTAAGACCAACAAATATAATCAACGTGTGTTTACTTGAATTGAAAATTGTAAAATTCACGCAAAAATTATTATTAAGCATTATTATTAAGCATCAACTTCCGCTTTGACAGAATATGGCCTTCCTCGCTTATTTGTATTGAATATTTCTCGATTTTCACTTACTTATTCTCAACTTTATCAGTCAAATAAGTTATTGGTAAAACTAGAGATAACAGCGTATGTTATATGAAAACACTCGATTATTATTTACGTGGATTCGGTTTTTCCAGATGCGATGCCAGAGACCGATTCATCCAAAACCACTGCTGAATCATTATTTCGTTCAACATTGATAGTGGGAATTGTAGGCGATTCTTCGATCTCTGTCTTAGGCAATCCATTTTCATCCTCGGTCTTGTTTCTTTTCTCATATTGTTTCTCTTTATCGGGATCAATCTCTTTATGTGAATTCTTCTCAACGTTGCCATCTTGATGACTTAATTTCATCAACTGCTGCAAAGCTTCCAAGACTATCTGTCTGTTGGTCTTCAGCATCGTTAATTTATGCGAAATAGCGAGACGTCTGTCGGGTACAACGGCCATCAAATTGAATCTAATATCTTGCAATTGTTCACCAGTTGCCATGCCTAAACGATCAGTTATGACACGTCTAAACTGCTCCGTCCATTCTTCATGTTCCTTCCATGGTCCATGATCCATGGGATAGGGTTTCAAGCCATCCAGCTCAAACAGCCTACCATTTATCGGTACGTAGCTGACAAAATGGAAAGCCTCGCCAGTGAATCTACCCGTGGAAACACCAGTGTTCTTGTCTTGTCGTCTCTTCGCTTGAGGCATTGCATGCGAGTTGTGTGCGCAGGCTAGTTCTGGCGTATTGCCGATCGCCCAACCCTTGTTCTCTGGACACATGCCGGAGGTATGCATCTTCAATCGTGACAGAGTCGTACCTAGGTGGATATTCGGGCAATTTAGCAGCACTGAGAGTAGTGCATGAGTGGCGCAACTGTTGGGGACCACCTACGGCAATTATATAATATTGTGTTAAAAAGATATATCTTTTATATACACTAAGTTGTCAATCAATAAAGTTCTGATTCACTTTTTAATTTTTATATACAAAGGATGATTCAACGATTGAGCAAGCTTGAGATAGCTTTTCATGAGTTCTTCACATCTAAGGATCTAAATGGTTACTGAATGGTTTTATTTTAAGGAATAATGTCATTGTTTTCGAATAAATTAGATTCGTAAAAACCAAAGGATGAATTGGAACTTTTTTGACAACCTAACAGTAGAACTTCTGTGTGTTAGACCTGCTGGGCGAAGAAGATATTGTTAACAATCTCCTCGTCCTTGACAAAACTCTCATCCTGCTCCACGACTTTCCGCCTAGATCGTCGTTCCTCAATCCACCGAAATAAGAAGATGAAGCCATAGACTGGGCCTTCCAGAGATTTTTGCAGATCATAGATCTCCTCCACTTGGACGCCCTTCACACCAAAATCTTCCAAGAGCAACGTGAACAGACCTGAATAGTTGTGGAAAGTGTTATAGTTTTGATTGTTACAAATTTACAGCATAAAGTACTTCCTAAGCTCCGGACATCAGATTTCCATTAACAAACGATTGATAGATACATTTCAAAGTTAACAACATACCTGGGTCACTTTCTAGTTCTAGCCAACCTTCTGTCAATCGATTAATGTCAACGGGCATCTTGTCAACTGTCAGACGCAAAATAGCAGAAAACTCCTACAAATTCATCGTACTCTAATCAGAGGCGCCATATTCGTTCAAGCAATCACGTGACGTCATCACGTGTTGGAGCACAAGCTGCGTTTCTATGAATCTCCTTTTGGAGATTGATAGTAAAAAAATTTAGAAAATTTAAAAAACTGAGAAAAAAGCAAAAATGCAATTAAATAAAAGATAAAAATTCATTTTTCAAATTTATTTAAAAGATCAATAACAAATAATATTGTAAATTTTAATCGTGAAAAAAGATTCGTAATTCTATGTAATCAACAAAGATTTCATTGTTAGAAAAAAACTGCATTCAATTAGTGAAACAGAAATGACTTTAGGATCTCTAATATCTATATTAATTTCATTAATTATATTAACGCTTTTTAATATTTGTAAACTATACACAGTAATTTTATAAAGTACAAACTAAATTTAAAGCGAAGAATTGTTTTACACCAATATTACTGATATATTTCTATACTAATATATTTATAATATATATCATAATATATAATTTAATATATTTGTATATTAAATTATATATTGTAAATATAATATATATTAAATCTTATAATCAAAATCCGTTATTCACATCAGTTGTATTGTATCAATTCTTATAGTATTCTCACTATACAAATTAAAATTTGAAAATGACTTTGTAATATATAAACATGACAACAAAATTATATACATAAATTGTCGCTTTAACCTTCTGTGGTTCACACAACCGAGAATTTGAAGAAAAAGATTCAGGCAAATTTTCAATTTTGAATTAGTCTGCCTCAAATTTGGATAATGGATATGGACGTATAAAAAAAATGAAAAACATTTCGGATCGTAAAATTACTAAAATTGTATTCTTAAATGCTAAAAGAATTTAGAATTTTTTCAGATTTTTTAGAGCTCAAAAACTCTTTAAAAACCATAATCAGACACCGGTGATTCAGTTGAACTAAGAAATCAGTAAAAAAAACATTTGACCATGGAAGGTTGAACATGAAATGTTGGAATTTATAACTTGCTAATCTTTCGGTGCCAAACACTGATTGATCACGCCAAGTAGCATAGAATTTTCTAAAGCCGCAGCTACTCGTTCTTTGTCTGCAAGCTGCTTGTTCACTGCCGCCTCCGAGACGTGAGTACCAGGTGAAATTTCCACACTGACCTTAAACCTAGAAGGTAAGGCACGTAGCAATTGCACGCGAATGGATAAACCGATCAAAGTGGCCATGCTGCAATGCGGTATTGTAGGTGTGAATTTTACATCCACTCTGTTCCTCTTGTCATCAACCTGCAATGTTAAGCAATTTTGTTTTAAGCAATTTAAAAATACAATAGTACAATATTGTTTAAAAAAATGTTTTACTTCGATGAGATTCTGTTCAACTACATTCAGTTCTTCTAAAGTTAAAGGATGTTCCGGATCATTGATGTTCCTGATAATATCTGTAAATTAACAGTTAATAGTTAACATTAATTTTTTATGTTGCACTTATAATAGAAAATGTATATAATACTTTAATTTATGATGTATATATTTAGTACATTATCCCTGGTGAAAATTTGTCTCACAATTTTTCATGTAATTTTTCAAAATTTCTATATAATTTTATAACTTCCTTACATTTTTTATACGAATTAGAACTTTTCTCAAAAAATCTACATTTTATCTCAGAATTTTTCATACATATTAATTATAAAATATCCTAAGATTTTTAAGATTTTTTTGTAAGTATAATTTCTGACAAAATGTTATAAAATCTAAAAAATTAAAAAATATTAGGTGTTGGAATTAATTCGTAGCGTTTTTAAATGAAAGAATGTTATTTATTTCACATGAGCATTAAAAAATACATTAATGAAAGTACTTCCCATCACTTGTAAAACGCTACGAATTAATTCCAACACCTAATATTTTTTTTAAATTATGGGATAAGAAATTTTGGAATTCACTTGTATAAAAAATTCTGAGAGAAGATATAAACTTCCGAATATTTCTGAGTATTTCTGAAAAATATTCCAATTGGTATAAAAATTATGAGAAAAATTTTCACCAAAGATATCTTTAAAGAGAATAAATCTGTTGTTAATTGTTATAGCAAACACAATAACGTTATCAATTTTCAATTATCAAAAAAACATGAACGTTCAATAACCACAAGTAACAATTATTAAAATATTTTATACGTGAACAAAAATATATCAACAATACTATGTATTTTTGATTGAAAATCAATAATTTAAGGTTAAGATACCGAAAATCTCTCGCGCGTCAAATTCATCTGCGACATCCTCGTCTTGCTCCTCGACTGTGATTTCTCGGTCATCTAATTTCTTATAGAGCTTTGGGTTAATGTTCTCCAAATTTTCGCTCATTGTATACCATCGAATAAACGTTAAATCTTCATAATCTAAACACCTGTCGTTTTTTATCACGGCCTAATTTATATTATTGAGATCACGTTTTTCGCAGAGAAGCCGATGGATTTTTCACAAATGTTCCTTGTACCTGTACTTATTACACTTTCTGCAATTAAACTGAATTAAATTTATAAATTCTTCTAATTAAATATCAAAGAAAGAGAAAAGAATAAAACGTACGAAACGTTCATCTTCAAAAAGCAACCTTGAAATACACATCAGTTATCCAGCTTGACATCAAATTATTGAAATGAAGCGCAGAACGAAAAAGAATGAAAAGAGAGGTTAGGTGAGATTGCAATGTGTGGTACATCATAACCTCGTAGAGATGCAAGATTTTCGTAAACTTTGTGAATAAAGTTAAGTAAAATTCGAATTAATCGTTCAGCGATGACGTGTTAGAGAATAACCAATCAACATGCTCTCGCGGATCACCCGGACCATCCTCGCGTCGAGTGTCACGGCGTTGTTGCGGCAACCGCTGTGCGAGGTCGAAGGCCGGTCGTTGAGTCGCGTTATTCACACCAGCCAGGAACGGTATAAGAAAGATGACAAGAAAGACAGCAAGTCGTCGGCCCTCGTGCTCCACGCGTTCGCGAACGCCGACAGCAAGGAGCGAGAGGCCTACCTGGACATCCTGCGCGAGTACAAGACCAACAACGAAATGAGACGCGGCCACGTGGAGTTCATTCAGGTCGCCCTAAAGTACATGGACGAGTTTGGCGTGAACCGCGACCTGGCGGTGTACAAGGCCGTGCTGGACGTGCTGCCCAAAGGCAAGTTCGTTCCCCGAAACTATTTCCAGACCATATTTACGCACTATCCCAAACAGCAGCATGTTGCCATCGACCTGCTCTGCAAGATGGAGCACAACTCTGTGATACCAGACTTAGAGATGCAGGAGATGCTGCTGAACATTTTCGGGATGCAAGCCCTAGTATTGAAGAAGTTCTGGCGGATGATGTACTGGATGCCCAAGTTCGCCAATCTGAATCCATGGCCCTGTCCCAAACCGGTGCCCAAGGACCCGAAGGTTCTTGCTAAGCTGGCTATGAATAAGATATCCAGTGCAGACGTTCAGACCGAAGTCACAGAGTTCAAGACCAAGGACGTGGAGGATGCCATCGATGATACGTGGATCATATCTGTAATGAGTAGTTTGCAGGAGGAACTATTACGAAAGCAGCCTCTAGATACTCCAATCTTTGTCGAAGGACCGTATACAGTTTGGATCGCGGATCACTGTATAGATTATTTTATTCTAAAGGGAGCACCTAAAGAAAAGAATAATGTCTATCAAGATCCTGATGGTAAATAATCGCTACCTTAAAGGAAAATTTTTCTACTAATTTTTGTCATTATTTGTATAATTATATCCAGGGATAAGTTTAGAGTTTAAAAAAAATCCTTGATTTCTCAAAATCTGTGAGTGATGGAACTTTTTCAATCTTATATTCTTTTTTAACGGTTAAAAATTCATAAGAATTATCATTCAGGTATTGACAAGCAAAAGTCTTATATAAATTATTATTATTATTATTATTATTATTATTATTATTATTGTGACATAAATTATGTTTTTAATATTATTAATATTAATATTATATTAATTGTTTAAATATTCAAATAAAACTTTTTCATACAAAAAAAATACTGATGTGATTTTTTTTATAGATGTTTCAGATATTAGAATACCTTTCTGGGATAAGAAAAAAATAATTCTTGAACCTACGGTCCATGAGCAAAACGATGGTACATATTTTGCAATGTGCGCCACTGGTACATCCACGAAAGATTCATTGTTATCCTGGATACGATGTCTGCAAGTGAAGAATCCCGTATTAACTGTAATTCCGGTAGTGTTCAAATTAATGTCCTCCACAAGGGAACAGTTCTATATCGATTCTGGTGAAAGTGAAAACAACATAGTGCAAACGAAGAATCAGCAGAAAGATACAAATTGTTAAACTATTAAACAATGATAAGCAACATCACTATTGTAACAAATCGACACGCATGTCTGTAGATAGCTTTTGTTTGTATATAAAAATATAATGTTTTCATTACAGTTGGTATGATTTCGATCAATTTAACAATTTAATTGACTTAACTGATGAATTTATTTAATAATTTAAATCTTGATATTTTTGCAGTTGAAGAAATCGTTTTTATCTTTCTGATTTTCTCACAATAATGGAAAATATTCCATTATTAAATACATCTAGATAAAAAAAAGAGGAAGGAAGGATATATAAAAATAAGACACCATACATAGAAAGTTAATATAATTTATTCTGTGCAGCCACGCGTGTATTGCTTGGTGCACCTTCCCAGTGATAGGAATCAAAATAATATATATCATCTACCAATGGTTAATAGATCATCACATTAATTCGCTGTATTTGTCCACTTTATATATAAATACATTAAAGAAAAATATATATATATATATATATATGTATATATAGATATCTGTACAATTTCTGGTATCGTATACACTATATGCTGTTTCGGTGACACTACTTCGTTAATGCATTAAGTCTAAGTCGCCCTTTAAGTGAGACTTGGTCTCAATCACGCGAACAACGTCTCGCAAATAAAAAAATATGCATCTCCACCGCGCGAATTCTGTATAGATTTATACAAATCTATGATATGTTGTTATTTAAAGGAACGAATCAAACTTGCATACGAGAGATCTAAATCTTACGCTAAAGTGCCTAATTCTTTGTCGAAAAATATACTTTAAAGTAATCTCCCCTAAAATATATCCTATATTGCATCGTTCCGTTTAGCCGCGTGACGTCCAGCTTTCTACGAGGAACGATCACAAGCGTTGTCCCGATAAATATTTTATGGCTTGGCCATCAGTAAGACACGACTGCTTATACAGAGCATTTATCTGTAATCCATCGATTACTCTTTGACACGTATAGTGAAACTCATCTATGTCTAACTTCTCACAACGCAATAACACCTGCTTAGACGTACTAAAAGTAGAATATAATATACAATGTAGTTGCAACCGCATTCAATTACGAATATCTTCCGCTTGACGCAACGATCAAGAAAATTTATCAGGGATCTAAGCCTCATAAAGACTGTAGATGTTTTATGCAAATATGCGTGAGAAGCAAAGGGAAAAGTTGCGAAATCGAAATATTTGTTATTACGACGCGCAGAAATATTTTTTTATTATTATACTTTTCTTAAATGAGAGCTTATTGTAATGCATTTTGTAAAAATGGAGAATAAATGTAACTTTTCCATTACCTTAATTATAGCATTTAACTTTAAAGTTTTCTTTGTTCTTTCAAAATGTGAGTTAATCCACTGTTACAATAAGTTCTTCACTTTATTTCTCATTAAAATGTATACAGAATATTCTCAATTAATATGTCAATGTAATTAAGAATAATCTCGTATATTTGCATAAACGTCTGCATTTTGATCATAAATAATCGCGTCTCATCATTCTCTTTCTCAATACAATTAATGTACAAATACTCTAAATATTTTTACGAATCAAATATTATGAATACTAGAAAGAAAGCTCGCTAAACGCTATTAAACCTTAGTGTTCGTAAAACTCAAACACCATTCTTGCAGTTTGATTATCTTTCTATAAAAAGCAAAAACGTAAAAAAAGCTTATGATTAAAATGTCAAATACTCGTTTCGAAAATCGACATTTTATGAACTAAGCTTTAAATTTCCTACGATAATATCACTTATTACGCTGATGAATACAACTTATGTCCATTTCTATCAATGTAGAATAACTTTAATCTCGATTAACTTTTTATCTATTTTTAATAATTAGAAAAAATAAAGAGTAAATTAAACTGAGATTAATCTGCATTTTCATAGAAATGAGTCTTATTGCGTTTGTTATTGATTGTGAATTTATTATCAAATAAATTTACAATCAATAATGTGTCGCTTTTTTACTAAAAAAATGACACAATTCGAAAAATCAAATTTTTCAGAAAGAAACATTTTTAACTCGACAAAAAATTATTGACTAATCAAATAATATCAACAAAAAGAATATTCTTAATATCAATAACATTTTTGTCATTTTTATTTTATAATCTCTTAATGATTTTGACGATTTTTTAATGAAGTTTAATTAGTTCACTTTTGATGATTTATAAAAGATAATGTTTATTTAATTCATTCATGGTAATACTGCAACTAAAAATCACGTTTCTTTGTGTCATTTTTTAAGTAATAAAACGATGTTTATTGTGTGTGTGTGTGTATATATATATATATATATTATATGTATATATTTAAGTAACAAAAATAATTGCCACGCTTATCACTTATCGCTTCGAGTTTGTAGGCGTTGAAACATTTTAAGTACAAAACGTAGAAGTATAATCGGCTTATCGTTGGTTTTTGCGTAGCAGAGACCACGAATAAATGTAGTCTCTGTTTCGGTTTTTAGCCAATATCTAATAAAATATGTGTGCGCGTAATAAATATGAAACAGTGGTTTCGTGTAGGAAAACGTGCAAATGGTAATTTTGAAATTTGTTTGAACTTTTAAACAATCACGCAATCAAAACCGAGAGAAAACAAACATGTCTCGTCAATTTATATATATTTATACATATTTTTTTGCATTAACTTTTCGCGTAAGAAAGAAATATCATGGACGCGCATAAAATTAATTTGAGCATCATTATAATTTGCGTCGACAAGTGGAATGTTCAACGTATATTCTCGTAATTGAAAAGCACATCAATTGCCAAACAGTCATCAAATGCAATGATAAAGGGAGTTATATAAATAATTTCTGCGCGCGAGACGAATTATACGCAGTAAATTGAGATGATGTAAGCTCGCGTATTTTCATCAATCACCTGTGTGTTCAATAGTCATCCGATTTCGGTCGATGTCACAATCAACATTTGCAAAATTCTCTTTTAATTTTAGATTGAACAGCAATTTTATTTACGCTACCAATCTAGAATTAAGAGAATTTTATAATATTATTAACTATTCTATATTACATTAGTAATTATTTAATTTTTAACGCCAGATTAATCGCTATGAATCAAACTTACTTCAAATAAAATGTATAAAACTATAAACGCCACACTTAGGTAAAATGTTACAAATAAGAAAAGAAATGCCAAATACAATGTAATAACTGAGATGATATTTTTCACAATAAGTTCTTTATCTTAAAATGCTTATTAGTATCATTCTTAAATTGATGATAAATTTAATTTATTATTTTAACTTTAGTTAGCGATTGTAACAATGATTTATTCATATAACGGTATAGTGTAATTTATTAAAATTTTACAAATTTTATTTATCGCTGCAACTATAACAAAACCAAGAATAACTTATCAATAATTAAGAAATAATATGTGGAAGAGCATATTCACGCGTGAAATTATTTCTGCGTTGGATGTGCTTGGAAATGATACTGAAATTTTTTTTGCACAAAAATTTTGAGTATCTCATAATACTTTTACGAATTTGTCGTATTTTAAATTGATTTTAAAGATTTCTAAAAAAAAATGTTTTAAAGTTGATAAAAAATTGATAAATTTTCTAAAAAATTGTAAAATTATACAGAAATTATAAAAAATTCTGGAATTTATATGAAAAATTTAAAAAGAACGAACGACTTTTTTGATCCATTTCAAACGTAAGATATTATAATCATAAGGCAAGACAAAGGAACTTTACGCCTTCGAAAGTGCGAAGTGGAATTTATAGCCTTGAAAGACTGGTCGTTCGACGACCTTGTTCCGACTCGTTCACATAGAACAGCTGAGGCACGTCGGATCTCGAGACGATTCCTGGGTCCGTCTCGTGTAGACCTTCAGTAATTGGCAGTGTACCCTACACAAATATTTAACAACGTGAAGTGATGCTTTCCGTGCAAATTTAGAAATGCCGAGATTATGTCGCAAGAGCGCGACGAGACGGGACAGTTATATTCTATATAAATTTCGTATGTGACATAGTAGCTCACATACTCGAGTTTTAGATAAGATAAAAATTTAAATGTGCAATCAGGAAGGTTAAAATGGAGACTCTAATGCAACGCCGTCCGCTGGGACACTTGATACCGATAACGCATGCGATCGCTATCGCCTTGTTTACTTGCCTGATTTTCACGTTGGTGCTGTCGACCACCTCGCCGTCGCAATTCCACACGCTGAGCCGCGAACTCGAGCGGGTCGTGTTCGGCCCGTTCTCGAATTGCAGCGTCGGCAGGGCGCGGAATGTGAATTCTCTCGCCCGGTAGACCTCGGCGAACGGTAGCTCGTACTGAAACAATATTGCAACTCCTTGTGATTTTCATCCTGCATCTTAATTAACCCTCAATTATTATACTAATGCGAATTCGTATCAGCAATTTTTGAAAAAAAGTTCACTCTTCTATTTATTACTTTCTTAATTAATAATTTTTTGCAATAAATAAATTGTTTTTGTTTAATTTTATCATTACCAATAAGTTCCCTAGTGAAGATTTTTCTCAGAATTTTTCATATATTTTTTATAATTTTTCAGAATTTCTATATAGTTTTATAAGTCTCATTTTTTTATACAAATTGGAACACTTCTCAGAAAATCTACATCTTTTTTCAGAATTTTTCATGTATGTTAGTTATGAAATATTATAAGATTTCTAAAATTTTTTGCAAGTATAATTTCTGAGGAAATGTATTCTAAAAAATTAAAAAATATGTTTTAAAAATTATAGGATGAGAAATTTCAGAATTCACTTGTAAGAAAAATTTTGAGAGAAGATGTAAACTTCTCGAATATTTCTGAGTATTTCTGAAAAACGTTCGAATTTGTATAAAAATTATGAGAAAAATTTTCACCAGGGTTCCCAGGAAAATTTTATCCCGAAAAACTATACAATTGAATTACTTTTCTCTGCTTTTTTCGTTTTAAAGTTACACGTGATGAAAAATGACAAAGCCAAATTCGCATTAGTGTGATAATGGTGTGACCGTGACTGAAGAGTGTGGTAATTCAGGATTAAGTCTAATTATAGTACGTAATAATTATATAATAATGCATAAAAGTTTTCAATGTATCATATATCGA